TGTCCTTGCTGTATTTGGAATTAAGCCCATGTCTATAATGAGATTTTTGTTTTCCCCATTGTAATAATTTTTCTGAATATTTCTATTGCTTCAATTATTATTCGGTTCTAGATTTTTTTGATATCTCTGTGGCTTCTGATTAGTAGCTTCAGTTTTTATTTGAATATTTTCCTTTCAAAATGTCTTCACTGGCCATAATTTTCAGTTTACTGAAATTCAAAGTACAAGTTCATTTAATTCAACAATTAACTCATTTAGCATTTTGCCTATTAAGTACCAATAGAATAGCTCTGAAAGTTGAACAATAACCACATACTACAATTAAAGGTATATTGTATAATTCTTTAATAAAATCTAATGCCTGCAGAGATATTTTGGACATGAAATGTTGTTCATGTTTTTTCCAAAGGAATTCTCTTGCAAGAATAAGATGAATTACTTTCTTATGTTTAATTATATCATGCTACAGTAGGACATATTTACTGCATAAATTGAATGGGTATTAATTATATATCATATGTTCCACCATAGCGATTACATAAAATTTGATTTTAGGAACTACTCTTGAGGGATTTCTATCTGTTTCTGGGTCTTCTTTTTCTCTTTTTCACTCTTCTTTCCCACCTAAAAGAAAAGGAGCAGGATTCCAAAAAGTAGCATTGTCCTATAACAACAAATGTCAAATATGGCCTTCTTTATCATTTTGAAAATTCTAATTCTGCTTTTAAAATTAATTTTGTACAGAGAAATTATATTTTACAATAAATGTACTTTCTAGAAAACAGAGCCTTGCAATTTATTTTCGTGTGTATTATACTGCTGAAATCTATCATTAATTAACAAAATGTTTGAAAATCAAAGCAACTAATTGCAGTGGCCCTCATTTTACCATTGGGCTCTCCAACTCATTTCAAATGAGTTTCATACCTAACAAGTTTCCTTCTTTGGGGGATATTACATTGGTTTCTTAAAAGTTTGCTTAAAACTCTTAGCTTGGATTCGCAGTTACTTGTAACTGGAGGTATAAATTAGCCTTTAGGTTGAATTTATGTGCTAATTACCTCGGAAATGTTACACACTCTATTAAACAGGATTAGGATACAAAAACAATAACCTTGGGGCCTGCTGCTTATGTGGAATTTTGTTTTTTTATTTTTCATATTAAAGAATGATTCCCATAAGTACTTATGGTAGTAATTTATGTACATCAAAACCACCTTCATTATCCTGAGACTTCCTGAGGCTAGGGGCTATTTGCTCATGATTGAACAATGAATGCCTAGATCATTTAGTTGTTCTGAGGACTGCAGGGAAATAAAGACTGAGCAGGTACCTTGAAGACTCTCTCCTTGCCCATCCACTTCAGTAATATTATGGTCTGCTTTCAGTGATGTTGTAAATTTGCCTTTATCAATATGTATCCATATTTCTGAATTTTTATCTTCATAGTTATAATAATTCATATTAAAAAATGTGTAACAATCTCAATGTTGAGAAGATTGTATCTAAATTCAGTTTCTCTCTCTCTGTCTCTTTTTTTTTTTTTGAGTCAAGGTCTCATTCTGTTGACCTGACTAGAGTACAGTGACCCCATCACATCTCACTTGTAGCCTCAAATTCCTGGGCTCAAGCAATACTCCTGTGTCAGCTTTCCGAGTAGCTGGGACTACAGGCATTTGCCACCACACTCAGCTAATATTTCTACTTTTAGTAGTGATGGAATATCACTTTTGCTGAGCCTGGTCTTGAACTCCTGAGCTTCCTCCCACCAACGCATCCCAGAGTGCTAGGATTACAGGCATGAACTGTTTCACTCGGCCCTAGATCCAGTTCTTAATTCCATGCAGGTAGGATATACATAGACTCATGGGAAATGAGAACACCCCAAGGTAGATTCTGGACTCAGTCTTGTGATTGACTTCTTCATCTGTTCATTATGATCTTCTAGAGAAAAACCATTTGTTGTGGAAAAGAAGAACAGTGATGAATTAAGCCAAGAAATTGGGTACTTTTGTTTGGCTTTTTCTGTTGGAAACTCTCTTCTCCTTACTTCAAAAATCCCAATCTTACCATAATATCATGTTGTATTCCTTAAGTATATAAAACATAATTTATGTGGTAAAAACTATAATTATTATCTCCTTTTCCAAAAAGTAAAACAAAACCCGCTTGTACAAGCATCCTGGTGAGTAAAGTGTAGGAAGGTTTATGGTTCCTTTGCTTTCCCTGCTAATTTCTAACGTTGAATTTTATTTTGCTGCCATTTTTTATTTGAGAAATGAGAACGTTGGATGAAAAAAATTTAGAAGATAAATAATATATAATGATGCTCATTTCCCTTCCCCCTAGGGAAAGGAACTCTATCCATTCATTGTTACACTCATTCATCTTGCCCCAGCAGAAGGGACTGTATCCACTGAATTCTCCTGGCCAAATGTAACTACAAAGGACCCATGTGACTATATATACCCCTAGAGAAAGAGCCCAGGCTGGGAGGAGATTTTCTCACTTAAGTCTTTCTTCTGCCAGGAGCTCTGGTGCTTTTTCTGTAAAATAAATCCTGTATTACCACTAATCTGTGGTCCATGGATTCATTCTTCGAATCTCTAAGACCAAGGACCTACTAAAGAAGAAATTCTGGTATCAGCATCAAAATAGCTGACTATAGCCTCAAACTTCTGGACTGAAGGAATCCTCCTACCTTAGCTTCCCAACCTGCTGGGAGTATAGGTATGCACCACCAGGACCAGTTGATTTAGTTAAATATTTTTGTAGAGATAGAGTTCTTACTGAATTGCCCAGCCTGGGCATGAACTCCTGGTGTCAAGTGGTCCTCTTGCCTCAGCCTTCTAAAGTGCTGGGATTATAGGCATGAGCCACTGCTTCCAGCCGAGATTTAATTAAAATGGGATTTTAGATGTATTCACATTCTAAGCTTCTAAGAAAATGATCATTTTCTTTTTTTTAAAGGGATACTAATGACTAGCCAATGCTCTAGGAAGATGTTGAGCCCAGCCCACATCTCGCCTTACTGTTACTGAAGACAGGGTGTGTGGCTGGACTTTGAAGGCAAGCTTCTATGTAAGTACCATTTGAGGTTTGGTGGATATTAAAGACTTAACAATAGTGCTTTACAAAGCAATTACCCACATGGTGGACAAAGAGAACACTTAAAGAGGCAACTTTAATAAGTACAAATTAGTATAAACCTTAGGAATTCCAGTGGAGAGATAAGGTCAGGATTTAGCTATCTGGGCTAAGGCAGTTAAGGTTTCCCAGAGAGATGGGGCTCTTTGTTAGATTCTCTGTTTAAGTAGAGAAAGTTTTCTGCTAAATATTTTAAATAGTAGAAAAATGCTATTTTAGGTGCAAACTTTCTGGTCTGTTCCCAGTTTTGTGTCAATTCTGTGCCTCAAGGCTTTCTCTTACATTTACACTAAAAAAGGAGATATTTCATTCAGTAAATTTTCATGTCCTTTCTTTTCTTGTGAAGATTTCTGTGGGTAGAGATCTTCTCAATAGGGTCACTCACCTCATGTTTTTCTTAACGTAAAATGATTATATGGAAATAGATTTGAATGTTAATTTCAATGAGTTTAGCCTACTCTTTCCTTGAGACCATGGAAAAGCTGATCCTACATTTTATTTCCTTCTCCCATTCCCTACTGTTGGTACTGGTAGTTAAAAAGAATTAGTTTTTTTCCCCCAAATAATATGTTAGGTGAAGGAAGTTTGTAAGTGTTTTAAACTATGAAAATCTTTAGATACTTTACATGTTCTAAGTATGAAGTGAAAAATTCATTATCCTTAAAATATGTGATTGTAATGGTTCTTAAGATTTCATTTTACTCTGACTTTAGTGTTTTCATTGCAGTAATTTAGTTTTGAATTGGATGAATAATTTGCTGTGGTAATAGCACATTTCCTGGGAAGAGTGGTATATTTCTTCTTGTACCTTCACATAGCAGTATACTATTAGTCTAATTAACAAGAAATGTTCTAGTTTTCTCCTAGAATCACAGAACATTTAAATATGTCTTCTTGTAGATAACTGTTCAAATGCCAAATTCTGAATAATACATTGGTTAGTTACCTGTCATTGGTTCAGTACATTTTGTTGTAACACAAAAGTGGTACCATGCAGCTAAAATATAGAAGATATGAAGCTGTTAACTGTTTTATTAACCTTAAACACAAATATATTACTTTACAACTTGATTGAGCAGTGTTCCAAAGAGCACCTAAAGGTAATTGGTAGGAGTGTTTAGTTCATTTAATAAGTTCAAGTAAACTTTTGACTTACTATCTCTGGCTAAAGTAATGTTTCTCTCTTCCCTTACTAACCACTTTGAGGAAAAAAAGAGAAAGATGAAATTTTACAATTCTGTGAGAGATTGTTTTTGGCATTTAGCAGACCACTATAAAGTGGTTTTCCCAGAAGCAATAAATAAGAATGAGAGGCCCAACTTGGAATTTATTTTCATTCAGTGGCCTTTGCTGAGGCATTGCTTGGTTGCTTGGCATAGCCTTGTGCACACCTGGGAAGGCAAAAGGAAAAATAGCTACCTTTACCTCTCTGTAGGCTCAGTAATGCTTTGGGAAGATGAAGCAAATATTAACCTTATAGAATGTATATCAAAAATAAAAGGAAGTGATTTTCTTGATTCAAACATATGAGTAGGTCCTCTAACTTTTAAAATTGAATTAAGTTCTTTGCACACAAAATTGAGAACTTGGTAAAGCTTATAAACTTTATTATAAAATGCAGCATAACAATATTTCTGTATTTCTTTTTTAGTTATAGATGATGCAACTTGCAAAACATTTCCAAAACACGAAACGAGAAGAATATTTAAATGTAATATAAGCATTATACTTCTTTATCCATCACAGTGGCTTCATTCCACTCTCTTTCCTCTGTGGCCATCATTTACAGCAAATGTTGGGTAAACCAAAGTATATATGAAGAAATAAGTGTTTTTCATAGTCATTAGTTTTCCATGACAGTGTTAAGGTTCAAGCGTATCTTTTGTGGGAGCTTTGTGGAGTCCGACGGAGCATCCCAGGCAGTGTTCACCTTCCTTCTGATCCCATGTTGCTTGACTCTGGATTTCAGAGCACCCCCTCTTATCCCAAATGTGCCTTTCCTCTGGGCCTGGAACGCCCCAACAGAACATTGTCTTGGAAAGTTTAACAAGCCAATAGACCTAAGCCTCTTCTCTTTAATGGGAAGCCCCCGAAAAAACAAAACAGGGCAAGGTGTTACAATATTTTATGCTAATAGACTTGGCTATTATCCTTATATAAATGCAAAAGGCACAGATGTGAATGGAGGAATCCCCCCAAAGGGGTCCTTACAAGACCATCTGGACAAAGCTAGGAATGACATTATTAATTACATGCCAACAGACAGTGTCGGCTTGGCTGTCATTGACTGGGAAGAATGGAGGCCCACTTGGGCAAGAAACTGGAAACCTAAAGATGTTTACAAGAATCGGTCTGTTGAGCTGGTCCAGGAACAAAATATACAACTTAATTTCCAACAGGCTACCAAGATAGCCAAGGCTGAGTTTGAAAAAGCGGCAAAGAGTTTCATGCAAGAGACTTTAAAACTGGGAAAATCACTTCGGCCAAATCACGTATGGGGTTATTATCTTTTTCCTGATTGTTACAACCATAATTATTACCAACCCAATTTCAATGGAAGTTGCTTTGATATAGAAAAGAAAAGAAATGATGATCTCAACTGGTTGTGGAAGGAAAGCTCTGCCCTTTTCCCATCCATTTATTTGAATAGCAACAAATCTTCCCAAGAAGCTTTGCTCTATGTGCGTAATCGAGTTCATGAAGCCATTAGGGTTTCCAAAGTACCTGGTGCTGAAAGGCCGCTTCCAGTGTTTGTATATTCCCGCCTAGATTTTTCTGATCAAGTTTTGAAATACCTTTCTCAGGTATGTAAATCAAGGTATAAAGGCTCTGAAATACCATCTGCAAAACGTTTTTAGTAGAGTTTAGTATTATTTTTGAAGGGTCTAAAATTTAGCTTTTAGTATCATTCGGGAATGTGCACACAAGTTTATATGTAATGGTATGAATGAGAAATAAGAATATATTTAATTTTTAATGTTACTCATGAGTTCGTAGTAAGCATGGAGAATTCATAGACAATGTATTCACTCAGTTTTTTTTCTTTTGTGAGCCTGCTCCCTTACCAATAGAAGTAATTAAATAATAGCAGTTTCTATTTTTGTAATAATGAGGCAATATCTGTATAAAAGATAGAAAAAAATAGTGGAGAAATATTTGCATTACTGTTATTGGGTCAGCATGCTTAACTTTTGTGTTCCTGTCTTCTGTATAGCACTTTGATTTTATGCCTGTCTGCTCACTTTTGCTATTGCATTTGTCAGGATGACCTTGTGAATACACTGGGTGAAAGTGTTGCTCTGGGTGCCTCTGGAATTGTGATATGGGGAAGCCTTACTATAATGCAAAATATGGTAAGTTGAATTGGTAGGAAATACATGGAAATATTTCTCCCTTTCATATTTCTGGGGATCATTTGGTATATTGAATAAGAAAATAGCTGTGTGCTGTGGCTCATGCCTGTAATCCCAGCACTCTGGGAGGCTGAGGGGGATGGATTGCTTGAACTCAGGAGTTTGAGACCACTCTCAGCAAGACTGAGACCCTGTCTCTACTAAAACCAGGAAAACTAGCCAGGTATACTGACACACATCTGTAGTCCCAGTTACTCAGGACACTGAGGCAAGAGGATTGTCCAAGCACAAGAAATTGAGGTTGCTGTGAGCTACGATGCCAGATCATTTGAACACAAGAAATTGAGGTTGCTGTGAGCTACGATGATGCCATCCATGGTACTCTACCCAGAGCGACAGAGTAAGGCTCTGTTTCAAAGGAGAAAGAAAAGAAAAGATGACACAAGAGAATCACTTGAGCCCAAGTGTGAGAATAAAGTTGTCATATTGTCACTGCTGAATTGGAGCTGAACTCTTCCTTTTCTGATGGAAGTGGACCTATTAATGATCAAAGTGCCAGGGAGACTCTCAAATGAAGCTGATGGCCCAGGATTTCTATCCTAGGACCTGTGGAGAACGGACCTTAAACTTTAAGGCCAAAAGAGACCTTATGAGAAGAATTATATTCATCTCTTGTCCTTCAGATAATATAGCCATAAGACTATTTATTTATTTATAACGATTTAACAGCAATTGCATTGGTGAAGTTTGTCAAGGTAATCTGAGCGCTTCTCCCTAATTTGAACAGTGCTGTTGTCTCTAGTTTGATCTCTATTAAAAAGAAACAACAGAAAAATCTAAGTTCAGAGAAAGATATATGTCCCTTGGTAAAATATTTTATGTCAGTAAATTATTTTAAAATTATAATTTTCCTAATTTTTAAAAAATTTCCCAAATCCATAAATTCCTTTCTCAAAGGTCCTATTATTTAAACTTTTATAAATACATATAAATTCTCCAACCTTTTTTTTT